ATTCTATTTTTAAATAAATATCTGAAGTAATTCTTACATATCTGCTTAAGGAGATGTGTATAAGACTATTTATTGAATCATTACTTAGAACTGTAAAATATTAGAAATTATCTAAATGGCCATCCACTAGGAAACGGATAAATAAAACATGGTATATTCTTGTGATGGAATACTCCAGGGTAGATTCAGCAGACCACAGCCCTCTGCCTGCTTTTGTCAATAAAGTTTTATTGGCAGCCATGCCTTTTCATTCATCTTATAGCCTGTGGTTGCTTTCACAATACAATGGCAGAGTTGAGTACTTGTGGCAGAGACTATATGGCTCACAAAAAGCCTTAAATATTTATCATCTGGTCCTTTACAGAAAATGTGTGCTGACTCTTGCTATAGAACAATTGGAAATAAATATTACAGCAGGAACACATTTCAAAAATAATGTTGAGTGAAAGTTACAAGTATGCAGAATGATGGATAACATGTATTTCATTCCTATTAAATTGTAGATCAAGCAGAACAGTACTATAAATTGGTTATGGATGCTTTTTAGGTAACACTGTTATAAAAACTCAAAGGTAAAAATTTTTATTAAATTAATACTTCTGAAGAGAGAGAAGGAAAAAGGACTGAGAAGATCATAAAAGGGAGTTCAGCTGGTCTTGAAGGGTTTTAGTCCTCCCCCCCTTAAAATACATTTTTTTTAAATCAATGCTTTTTATTGCTCTAAACAACTTGAAGATGATATAATATTAAAATGTGGCTCTATCTTACAGATTAAGAATGAGTCAGAAATTATATAAATTTACATTTTATTTTTTTAAGAATGTAAGTGATTTATTTGTTTAATATTTTATTTTTTTAAATAAATTTAACAAATACACAAACTTTGTTAATTCTGTAGAATAGGTATATTGACATTTGTTATAGTTTCTCTCTTCTATATTTTATTTTATTTTATTTCTTTTTTTTTTTTAATAAAAAAGGGTAACAATAATCACATCAGGTTCCAGAAAGCCTGGATTTTATCTGAGAGCTGTTAATGGTTAGTTCGCATCTGCTGGCTCTTGCCCGAGGCTAACAGCTTGCTCCAAGCCCTGGGTTTGTGCATATAGCAGGCTGAAGCATCAAGTATTAGCCTTGTCTTGTCCAGAACAGCCTTCCTCGGAGGCTAGACAGAGCTGGTGTGTATGCATTCTGTAGGACGCAAGGCTGTGTGTCCCACACTGCTTCCCAAAGTTCTCAGCAGATTGTCAGTTGCACGTAGTGATAATTTATCTGATATCATGACCATCACTGACTCTTTTCCCCGTCCCCTACTGATGTTTCCTGGAATTATCTCCCAAATAAACTCTTGCACTCAAATCCTTGTCTCAGGATCTGGTTTAGGTGAATTCAAACTAAGGCAGCCATTCACAATTTACAAAGTATGCTTACTTGTATTTTCTGTAGTTGTCGTATCTTTGAGAAGTAGGCTGGACAGGACATGTTATTTTCTACTTTACGATAAAGGGGAGGACACGGAAGCCTGAGGAATTCATCTCCCATCATGAACAACCACCACCACAGGGTCCCTTAGCTAGTAGCAAATACAATTTGAACTCAAATGTAAGCCTTCTGACTTCAAAGTTGGATCTTTCTATTGTGTTGAGATATTTGAGGACATCATTCCCAGGCCTCCTTTCTACTGTGTAAACAGAGGCTGTATTAAGGGACGTTGAGTCTGTAACAAACAGTGCCACTTTGATTTTATTGTAACTGCCTTGATAATAGTCACTCATGTGTCCTATGGGGACTTTGTCCTGTGTATTTTGGAGGAATCTAGGGTTTTCCTGAGTGCTGGCTGGTAAAAATGCTTTTCTAGACTATTCTTTGGGAGCCACTAACAAGGGGCAGAGGCTCCCAGTCTCTGTAGGAAAATTGCAGGTGAAACAGACTTTCTTCCAGTGAATTGTCTCTCAGTTTCCAAGGTTCACCTTCAAAAGGTGGCATGTCAAGCTTCATGATCTAATTGCTTTAGCTCTGAGGTGCTGCAGCTTGTTAAAAATTCTCACTCTCTATTGATTCCCTGAGGCTTTTCAAAAGGGAAGGACACTTCTAATACATCATGTGAAGAACCTGTGATATGATATCATCAGGAGTTGAAGGCAATCAAAGTCCAGATTTCAAAACCTATTGCCACAAAATGTTTACTTGTCAGATCTCATTTGTTGACAGTGTGCAAACGTGTGTAATTTCTTGCAAGGCAGACTGTTATAATGTGAGGACATGGCAGTAATGAAGAAAATTTTAATGGTGGGTGAATCTTGAGCCTGAGTGTTCGAGCTTGACTAGGTAAAGTCAACACAATGCCGGCATTAGAATTCAGATGAATTTCAGCTCCTGTGAACAAGCTGCCATGTAGTCGATTTGTCAAGATAAAACTTCAGAGCCTTGTTCTGTGTCTCTTCTCTGTAATAATCAGAACTTCCAAGACAATGTGAGAAGCAATTTCAGGGATATTGATGGCAATCCTCTTGCTGAGAGGGTTGCACTGAATACAGTCGCAAAATACTTAGTCAAGCACTTTATAGTTTACAAAGTGTTCTCTCTTAATTTTGCTAGTTTGGTCCTCACGATAATTCTATAGACCTGAGAACATTTTTCAACAGTGTTGGATACCAATTCTTCTGCTGATTATTAAGTACCCTATGCATGGAAGGCACTTAGAAGAGCTTTTGATTGTGACTAAAAACAAGGCGGTATAAGCTTTGAGAAAGTTCTGGCTGTCCTTCATTCTGTGAACTTATGCTACAGCTATTTAGTTAAAGAACCATCTGGTTTTCATGTCCTTGGCCACATTTGCAAAGATTAAACGCCTAACACATTAGAACTGGCTTTATAAAGATAATGGCTAAGAGACATAACCAACTCAGGGTTACCCTTCAAGGTTGGTAAGAATTGTTGTACCTTTGTCCTTCTATAATTTTTCACTTTTATGTCTATTATCATTGCCGTGGTACAGAATTTCTCAAAGTGTATTCCAAGGAGCTTTATTTCCTCAAGATGTGAATAAGTATGACTTTTAAAAAAATAAGATTACTGGTCAGATAAGTTTGAGAACTGCTTGTTTAAACTGCTTGTTTAGGAATCATTGGTTTAAACTAAGTTGCAGATTTTTCAATAGTAAGATATTACAGAGCTTTTAATGTGCTAATACATATTATACTCTCCTAAAGGGATTAGAAATCATAGTATTTCTTAAACAAATTTACTTATTAAGCTCTTTTTAGTAGATCATCCCATGGGAATGACATGCTACAGAATACAGTATGGAAAATACCATCAATGTATTTGAAGAGAAAGGAATTACACTGGCTTCTCTTGAATTGGACTTTATTACTATACCAATAAAATTAGTAACTTTTATTTCTAATGTCTTCTTTTTATTTCTGCACAATTTTCCTGGAAATAATAATTTACTTATAGATTATTTTGTTCAGGAAACTAAGGCCTTATGTCCTTGCTGCTATAGAAATTCATGTCAACTCTGCAGGGTTGCAAAGTAAGACTGAGAACTCAAATTGGTCATTTCTGAAAGTAGTATTTTTCATTGAGTCCATTAAATCCCTAAATTACTTTGACATTTATATAAGTATAATATACATGTCAGACATTTCACTCCCTGACAAACCAATGTACATAGAAAAAAATGTTTGTAAGAAAATAGCAGACAAGGCTGGGCACCGTGACTCATGCCTATAATTCTAGCACTCTGTGAAGCCCAGGCGGGCAGATTGCTTGAGGTCATGAGTTCGAGAACACCCTGTGCAAGAGCAAGATCTCATCTTTGCTAAAATAGAAAAATGAGTTGGGTATCATGGTGCACACCTATAGTCCCAGCTACTTGGGAGGCTGAGGCAGGAGGATCACTTGAGCCCAGGAGTTTGAGGTTACACTGAACTATGATGATGCCACTGCATGCTACCCAGGGTAACAGAGTGAGGCTCTGTATCAAAAAAATTTAAAAAAAAATAACGAAAGAAAATAGTAGATGAAAGCTGAAGAAGAAAAAGAGACAGTATTATTTTTATTGCATGGTAGCATAAGCAGACGTATTTAGTAAGTACATGACCAATAGGTACCAATAGGTGAAATGATGTGGGGATGGATGCAGGTGGAAATAAACCTTCCTGGTCCCCATTCATGGAGTTTATTGTCTTCTGAGAAAGATGGGTCCCACTGGCCATTACAGATGAGTGAGTGTTTTGAAGGAGAAGTAGAGGGCTTTGTCGATGTGATTAGCAGGTAGATCTAACCACTACAGAGGATCAGGGAAGGATTTTCTCAGGAAATGACATTTAGAATCTAAATCCTGAGCAAGAGAGAAGGAGTCAGGATGTTCTGAGCAAAGTAAATTTATTTGCAAAATTTCACATACTGGAAGATAAAAGAGAAGTCCAGTCAACAGTAGGCCATTCTGGGGGACCCTCAGAGTGTGTCTCAGTTTCCCAATCCCTCTTTACATGCCTGCAAAAGACGTTCATCATCTACTCAGTTGTTTGTCACAGACCTACTATGGACAAGATTCCATAGAGCATACAAAAGATGTCTAATTCACTTCAAAATAATTTATAGTTCAGGAGCAAGCTGCAAATGAATTAAAAAATGAGGCAAAGACAAGTAAAAATTCAATACTATTAAATAGCATCTGGAAATAAGAGATCATGATGAAAGTAGGTCAATCCACTCAGTGTGTCAAATTGAGGCCATGGGCTGAGGACACCTGCAAATCCCTGTCTCCAGTAAAACAGACTAGAGGGTATTTGAAAATGTGCTAGACAGAAGCCCAAACAGAGCTCACGGTGAAATGCCAAAGGCAGTTTCTATCTGATAAGAAACTGTTTGAAAAGAATAGTTCTGATGACCCAATACATCTTTAGAGAACTCTCCTTGGTCAAGCAAATCCCCTTCATTGGCCTTTTAATTATATTAATATATATGCAATAGTAATAATGTATACACATCTTATTTAAATAATCTCATGACATAAGGAACATAAAGTCTTATGCTACCCAATGACAGAGATATGTTCTGATATATGTGCCATTAGGTAATTTTATCACTGGACAAACATCAGAGGGCGTACTCACACAAGCCTTGACGGCATAGCCTACTACACACCTAGGCTATGTAGTATGGCCTATTGCTCGTAGGCTACAATCCTATAAAGCATGTTACTGTGCTGAATACTGTAGCCAACTCTGGCACAATGGTAAGCATTTGTGTGTCCAAACATAGCTAAATACAGAAAGGTACAGTAAAAACACAGTATTATAATCTCATGGGACCGACCCCTGTTGGATATGTAGGCCATCATGACTGAAATGGTATCATGCAGTGCATGACTATACTGTTATTTTAATTCCTATTTTATGGTGAAAACTGTAGAGAGGTTTGTCAACTTTCCCAAGGTCATATCAGATTTGGGACTGAAACCCTGGCTTGATAATGCTACAACCCCTGAGTTTCCCAAGGCTGCTGGGACAAAGTGCCACAAACTAGATGGCATAAAACAACAGAAACTTACTGTCTCATAATTCTAGAGACCAGAAATTCAAAATCAAAGTGTCAGCAGGGCCAACCTTTCTTCAGAGGGTCTAAAGGAGAATGCTTTTTGTCCAGGAGCAAGCTTCTGTGGCATCCCTTGGCTTGTGGTCACATCACTCCAATTTCTGCCCCCAGGTTCACACTGCCTCCTTCTCTCCCTCTGCTTCTCTGTGTGTCTAAGACACTGTTCATTAGATATACAGCCCCCCTATATAATACAGAATGATCTTCTCTCAGGACTCTAGTTTATATCTGCAAAGGTCCTTTTTCCAAATAAGGCCACATTTAGAGTTTCTAGAGAATTGGACATGGGCCTATCTTTTAGGGAGTCATCATTCACCCCATTACAATGTACAATGCTTTGACTAAAAACATCATTCTGTCCAAATGGCAATTGGTCCAGGCATCTAAAACCACTTTGAGGAAATATGTAAAAGGTTGTCTATGCTGGAGGCAAACAACCAGTTAACATTTTGGGAAAATGTCTTTTGTCTCAGGAGAAGATGAGGATGATGGGGAATATGGCTTGGTTTATTCCCCCCTGTGATTACCATGGCCAGAAGCTGGTGGAAATACTTTCAACATTGACCTTGTGGAACTCTGAACAAAAACAGAATGGTTTAGAGACCCAGGGGTCAAGTGAGGTGCAGGCTTAGGGATGTTTGTTATATTTCCCTGCCTCTGGATGGAATCCACACCCACCTGTCTGGTTCACAGAACAATAACTGTTGCACATCATATCCTTTTCATGGTAATTTATGATTGATTATTGCTAATAAAAAAATCTAGGCTTTGGAATACTTATTTTTGTATCTCTTCTCATGCATTCTCTCATGCATACTTCTCATGCATTCTCTAGGCATATAGTCATCTCCTTGGAAAGCAATGATGGTATCATCTCCTTTCTAAATACACATTTCACTCATTAGTATACTGACTTATCACATTATCTAAATTGTAAACTCTAACTGATGTCATGAACATAACATAGTCAAGCCAAGGAAGAAGAGCTGATTTGAGTCCCAAGAGGCCAGCAGCAGAGCAAACAACCCCAAAGTTCCTGCAGTGACTTCAGTTTGATGGACTATAATGATGGTTCAGACCTGCTTGATGGCTGAGGGCAGAGGAGAGGGGACAGAAGGAGCCCTTGTCATTAGCCCCAGTGACATATAATTCATTGTAAACAAATTGGTAATAACCTTGGTCGCATGTGACACACACGATTGCCTTTTATTTTGGGAGGGTATTTCCTCTTTGGTAAGGTTCACGCTGGCTTCTGTATCTCCCCTCCTGCAATCTCAGCATTGTTCATGATAACATGTTCCTTTTCTCATTACTGTCATTCTGCAGAGGAATATGAATGCACGAGACCAGTCAGAAGTCAGTTAAGCCCAGAAGTCCATAATAGCAACAGAGGATGGAGGAAATATCCATAAACAAACTAAAAACTGCCTCTAAATAAATGCAGGCCGCTCTATAAAGCTTTTTAAGGTTTGTAATCAAGCGTGTAACTAGTGAAAGGTTTACCCTGTCCTGAGGATTGCCCCCACTAACACAGTTCTTCATCAGAGATAATGAATTTGGTGTCCTTGCTATACAGCATGGTTTTCAGAATCCATAACATATCACCATTTAGGCAATACTAAGCTTTACAAATATAATACAAACACAGTGCCCACCGACTGGCTTTCTCAGTTAAGAATTTGCTTACATGGGCAAGAGTCATCTTGAGCCTTCATTTCTGCCAGGAAGTATTAGGTCACAGAGCCTCTTTTTTGATATGGATATATTTTTGACAATATCCCTAGATCTTTTTATTGTTTCTCTAATGAGAAAAGAAGATAAAAAATAAAATATTTGGCCAGGCGCGGTGGCTCAAGCCTGTAATCCTAGCACTCTGGGAGGCCGAGGCGGGCGGATTGCTCGAGGTCAGGAGTTCGAAACCAGCCTGAGCAAGACCCGTCTCTACTATAATAGAAAGAAATTAATTGGCCAACTAATATATATATATATAATTAGCGGGCATGGTGGCGCATGCCTGTAGTCCAGCTACTTGGGAGGCTGAGGCAGAAGGATTGCTTGAGCCCAGGAGTTTGAGGTTGCTGTGAGCTAGGCTGACGCCACGGCACTCACTCTAGCCTGGGCAACAAACGAGACTCTGCTCAAAAAAAATAAAATAAAAAAATAAAATAAATAAAATAAATTTCTTATATCTGATAAGTATTTTGGCTATTGCAAGATTTATTATAATTATTTAATATAATATTATTTACCCCATTTACTTATAATATATAATATATTTATTTAATATAATATTTTACTTATAATTATAAAAGTAATATATAGCCACTATAGGTAATTCAAAAAAATAAAGAGACATGGAGAATAAACTGAAAAACCTGTAATACCACTGCCTAATGATGACCACTGTTAATATTTTCATATATTTTTTGGTGGCAATATTTCTGATTTTTGTTTATAGATAAATATCATTTATTGAATTCCTACTATATAGTAGGACTAGAATAGGCACTTGGAAAATGGTCTCTCATTCAAATTCACAAGAAAACTTTATTAGAGAGGTACTATCCTTCTTATTTTATACTGACATCCTAAAGTCCAGTGAATTTTCACAGGATCTCAACTAAGAATTGGTTAAATCTAAGTCTGCCTGACTCCAAACATAATGCTTCCACCCTTGATGTTATACTGTTATACTCATATATAAATATATGTTATACTGATATATATGTTATATATATAATGTTATATATATAATATACATTATATATAATATGAGATGTTATACTCATATATAAATATATATATTTTGAATTTTCTCCTTTATTTTGATTTTTATAATAATAGTCACAAGCATATCCTCCCATTGTTAACTATTCCTAGAAAATATTAATTATTCTAATGATTGCACAGTATTTTATTGCATGAATGTCTTCAATTTATTTATTATAGCAATATTGTAATGAGCATTGCAGAACATAAATCTTTAGCTTCTGATTTGTTCCTCAGGATAGATCTTAGAAGAAGAGTATTGCAAAAACTGTGAATATTTTTCAAGCTCTTAATTTTTAGTCTGAAAGTATAGAACAGTAGCTTATATATTATCTACTAACCCAAAAACCATTCTCTTGGGGAATGGGGCCCAGGGGCTAGATTGATAAGAAGCAAAAGAAAAGAGCAGAAAAATGGGGAAAATCTTCTGATTAAGAAGCAAATGAAACAAAGATGAGTTGGGATTCTAAGACACTAACATGTGTTGACAGCCTGTGTTTTTCTTTGTTTTTTTCTTTGTAGATACACCAAATTTTCCGTTACATAATTCTCCTTGCAGCTCTAATTCTGAAATTAGGATTTGGAATGGCATGAGCAGTAAATTAAAACAAGAGGAATTTTGGCAAGATAGACCTACAAAGAAAACAGGAAAGCTGCCACCTGCCTTTGCAAAGCTCTTGCTGCCTGCACTGGACACGTCATCCCCTCGTGCACCCAGCAGAAGGGCTTTCCATGGTTCTCCCAAACCACTCACTGTTCATGACTCCCATGGGAAACCATTGCTTATGGGTTCAGGGTTTTGTTAAGACAGATGTGGCAAGATGGCCCCACTCCCTTTCTTTTACTAAAATTCTTAGAGAGGAAAATGACTTCATGGTATAACCTTTATCTGTCAGCCAGATAATCAATCTTTTCTTTGTTGTCAAATTCACATTGTCCCAGGGCTTATTCTTCTGTGGGGACACGAAGTTTCAAGGCTCCCAAAGCACTGTTTCTTGTCTCCAGACTCATCTCAGCGCTCTCAGTCACTGACATCTGGCCATGAACTTTTTGGCTGCTTTCTTGAGATGTTGTTCTGGGATCTGTAGTCTGCATCATAACTCCGGTCCCCTTAAATGTGAGCATGGCCATCCGGAAATGAGTTAGTAGTTCCAATATCTTCTTATGCTTCACCCTGAAAATATAGGCCTCTACCTATGTATTTTTCTTGTGTACTTTTGAAAGTTAGTAAAATGATACCATTTGATTCACTGAGCAAACATTATTGAACAGCCACTATGTGCCAGGTGTTCTATTATTCTGTTTCTGCTTATAGGAACAGATAAAGAATATACCATGAATCCTGCCCTCAAGAAATGTTTAGTGAGTCACACAAAAACGGAAATAAATAATTACAGGAGATTTTTATAAGTACATAAGACATTGGCCCAGAGTACCAAGGAGAAGCATCTAAATTAAATTTGGAGGTGACAGAAGCTTTTCAGAGGAAATGGAAAGCTTCCTGAATGATGCATAGATATGAAGGCAGAGAGGAGGGAGAAAAATGTGTTCATGGAAGCAATGACAGCATGGGAAAAAGTATGATAGGAAGGGTTGCCAAATTTGGCAAATAAAAATCAAAGATACCCAGTTAAGTCTGAGTTTCAGATAAATAACAAATAATGTTTTAGGGTAAGTATAAACATGTCTCATTTAGTATTGGGTATATACTTAACACTAAGACTTTTCTGTGATTTATCTAAAACCCAAGTTTAGTTGGGCATCCTGGGTTTTATCTGGTAACCCTAAGGTGATAGGGAATAGCTAATACTTTATGGGTTGCAATAAGAAGTGAATAAAAGAGTGGCCTGGGGTGAAAAAAAGATCAAATCATGAAAATCCATTTGAACATAATCCTGAAAGCATTTGTAATTATTGGCGTGTTCAATGTCACCTGGGCCTCCATGTGGGGCATGCATATAGGTAGCCAGGTTGTTGAGGTGCTCCAGGTAAAGGGTAAAGATGCGTGAATCAAGGCAGTGGGAGAAAGGACCCCTGCTTTTCCCTTACAGGAAGAGACAACCCACAATAGGAGAAAATATTCGTAAACTACCCATCTGATAGGGATTAATAACTAGAATGTCTAAGGAGCTCCAACAACTCAATAGGAAAAAATCAAATAATCCAATTTAAAAATTTGCAAAGGATCTCAATAGACATTTCCCAAAAGAAGACATACAAATGGCCAATAGGTATATGAAAACATACTCAACATCCTTAGTCATCAGAGAAATGCAAATCACATTGTGATTTCATCTCACTCCAGTTAAAATGGCTTTTATCAAAAAGACAGGCAATAACAAACGCTGGTGAGGGTGTGCAGAAAGGGGAACCCTCATACACTGTTGGTGGGAATATAAACTAGTGCAACCACTATAGAGAACAGTATGAAAGTTCCTCAAAAAAGTAAAAATAGAACTACCATATAATCCAGCAATCCTACTGCTAGGCATATAATCCAAAAGAAGGGAAATCGTCAAAAAGATACCATGTTTATTACAGCACTGTTCACAATAGCCAAGATTTGGAATCAACCCAAGTGTCCATCGCAATAGTGCTATGATTATGGTACATATACACAATGGAATATTAGGTAGCCATTAGAAATAATGAAACCCTATCATTTGCAACAACATGGATAGAACTAGAGAACATTATCTTAAATGAAATAAGCCAAGCACAGAAAGCCAAATCTCACATATTCTCACTCATATGTGAGAACTGAATATTAAAACAATTGATCTCATGAAGAGAGACAGTAGAATGATGGTTACCAGAGGCTGGGAAGTGAGGGGAGATAAAGTGGGGATGTTTAACGGGTATAAAATATAGTTATACAGAATGAACAATATTTGATAGCACAACAAAGTGACTATAACCAACAATAAATTAGGGCATACTTTAAAATAACTAAAAGAGTGGAATTGGAATGTTCCTTAACACAAAGAAATGATAAATTCCTGAGGCGACAGATACCCAAATTACCCCGATTTGATTAATATACATTATATGCCTATATTAAAATATCACATGTACCCTATAAACATATACTATTATGTACCCATAATAATTAAACATTAAAAAACAATAAAATAAAATAAAATAAAATAAAATAAAATAAAATAAAATAAAATAAAATAAAAAAACACGCTTGACATTCAGAGCTATCCACAAACAGGCATCATCCCAAACTCTACAGTATATATCATAAAGATATCTACATATCATATCATACTCTACATTATATATCATATATCATTCTTTTTTCTCAAAAATGCTTTCTCCTTTCTGTCTCTATGCTGTTACATAGAGTATGTTTCCAAATTATGCTCAGGAAAATAACAGTTCTCAGGGCTAACACTTGTCCAGTTTCATCTGGTACAACCACGCCAATTGTGGGAATATTGAAACACATCTATACCAGTTTGAAAAGCTCCACTTTACCAGGAGAACAGGAACAAGGTGAAAATACCTTCAGAATTTCCTCCCCCTTGCTATCCTCGCTGCTCATGAGGCATGGGTCTACCTCAAGTCAAACGCGACATCTGTCCTACATGGACAGGACCCTCACCATTACACCCCATAACGCCCACCCCTTTCCCACTTTGCACATGCCATTTCTTTCACTTGCAATGTTCAGCCACCTTCTACTAGCTAAAACCTCTACATGCTCTGACATTTAATCTTGGACCTACTTTTATGTCTTAACTTCAGTCTCACCTTCTCAGAGAGGCTCTCTCTGATCACCTATCTAAGGAACTACCCCTTTTTATTTATTCTCTAAGCTTGTTAGTTTCCTTCTTGGCATTTATAATCACTTGGAGTGTGATTTTTGTAACTTTCATCTCTATTAGAATATAATATTTATGAAGACAAAGGCAACATCTGCCTGGTTCACCATTGTATCCCTAATTCCTGCAACAGAATGTGCTACAGTAGTAGATATTCAGGCACTACCTACAAGCCAGCTGCCGCCCAGCCAGCCTAGAAGACTGGTAACCACAAAGAGACTCCCAGGTCTTGTGGGGCTGCCCTCCTCTTTTGCAAGATGAGCTTACTCACCCCATACACTGTGTGCAAGAGACCTTCACATTTGACTTCACACAGCTCTGGGCCAATCAACACAGTGGGCTGTGACAGTCATGCTAAAGTCCAGCAATTACAGTGTGACATATTTGTACAAGTGAGCTCAGAGCTTCCAGGCCTTATGTTTATGTATTTGACTTTAAGAAGAATTATTGATCCTTCAGAGCAGCAAAATTGGGTTTTGTTCTTCCAGATTACTTCAAACCAAATGCCACTCATTGCTGTGCACATTAGTGAAACATTCAGTTGTCATCAGTAGTACTGGGCAGGGCAAAATACACAGCAACCACAGTGCTCTGCAGCCTAAGCAACTTCATTCGATGTTTTATTTTCCATTGCCATAATGGTACCTATTTTATTATACAATTAAGTGACATTATAAAATATAAGCCCTAAATAATCCAATTATGCCTTTCTCCTCTCTGGCATGACTTATATTTTATATAACAAAGAAGAAAATAAATGCAGATTTGATTACCCAACGGGGCTCTGGGAAAACTGATGCAAATAAATTATTCTCTTCAGCTTTTCACCATAATTTTTAACACAGTCTTGGGGAAGCTTCAGAATATTAAGAGAAAGAATAAAATAACCTACACATTTATAGTCATCTCCCAAACCTGGAAAAGAGTAACTAATACAGTTGTAGGTACATAAAAGCATAACAAAAAAGGACAACTTAAGAGATAAATAGATAGATAATAGGTAGGGATATAGATAAATAGATGATAGGTAGTAGACAGATGATAGAAAATGATGGAGAAATGGATGACAGATGATGGTGATGATGAAGATACACAGACGATAAATAGATGATAGTTAATATGTGGAGAGACATATATCTGTACATGTATGTGTAGATATCTGAATAGATCTATACATACAGACACACAGGAGAGGGGAATGCACAAGCTTATATCCTATTGGCAACTATTAAATGACATACATATATAGGACTTTATAATTTATTATGTTAAAAATTTTATCTTTTGATTATCAATACATACCTGTGGATAGTTAAAGCAGAGTTATTTTCCCATTTTACAAACAAAGAAACAGCCTCAACAGATTTCTAGTGCTTTGCCCAAGGTCACACAGCTAAGAGGGGGGAGGAAACATAGCTCATCCTCTGACATGACCCCACACTCTCTTTTATATGTGTTCTTGATGCAGAAGATCTTCTATCCTGAACTATATATAGTCATTCACTCACGGCTTGGGCATCTAAAATACTTTTTGGTATGATATAATGTAATTTATTTGTAGGTTAGAAAATTTTCAGTAGAATATATTTCTAGTTCAGTAGAGTTTAGGGAAATGTATTAGTTTGGGTTTCAGTATGCCAGAGATGGTGCATAATTGCTGTGTTTATCTGTATTCACAAGCCACCATCAGGAAACATCTTAGACCAGTTGGGTCCGGAAATCAGTGGTGTGTATTATTTCTGAGATTAAACAAATATTTAGGTCTTTAACCTACTCTTCCTAGAAATTCGACCACTAATTTCCAATTCAATGTACTGATTTTTATGTTTCCGTATTTCTGATATATTTTTAACTAACCCTGGTACAAGAAAGGAAAACATACCTCAATCTTTTCTCCTCTTGTCTCCTCTGTGTGTCTTTCCAAGAAGAGGCAGGGTTAAGGGAGCTTCTTTACCCATTTGCATAAACTGGCAGAGATGTCTATATTTATCTAAAGAGTTCAAAGGAAAACAAATAGATAAAAAAAAAAGAGAGAGAGAGAAGAAATATTAGATAATTGGTGAATGACACAGTTGTTAAACTTGGTTGATTTTTCCTGCTTGAAGAATGTTATATTTGTTTTTTGAGAAAGTCATCATTAACCAACATTTTATAGATCATGCTCCTTGGCAAGCTCTTTGAAAAGTGGGGGTAGAAATAAAAAAATGTTTGAGAGATGCTGCCTGCTCCACGGCCCTTAGATTAGTGTGTGTGAGTCACTGACGCCTCTGAGACATCTGAGTGGTGGGACAGGTAAGTTTAACTTTGGTTTTGCCCAATGTCATGAAATTATTTGACTGCAAAATGTATTTTTTGAAGAAAACTCATATTAATCGTAGAACATAAGCTACTACACTTAAAGTGCATTCATGTTTAAGTTCAATTACTTTCTTATGTTTAAATTAATCTTAATATTAAAAACACTAGATTGGATTATGATTATGTTGAGCAAAATCAGTGCTTCTGTGAGACAGGTTAGGGGCTACTTAGGAGACAGTCATATTAGGATTAGGTTTATAGTCAAGGCAATAAAAGATTTATTTCCCTCTCATATTCCTCCTTCAGGTAACCACCTATTTATATTATGAATACACTCTTTTTGCTCTGACATATAGTTGCATTTTAGCTACTTAATTTTTAGTTTTTTTCATTCTTTTGCTTGTAACCCATACTCATAATATTAAAAGAAAATTGCCCCCAAAAATCCTTGTTAAGCATTAACAATGATTAAAACCTTTTGTAAAAGTCCTTCATCATTTATCACTTGAAACTGCTTCTTAAACTTGGTTTGTAAGATTTCACACATCAATCTTCCTTTAACTTGCTAAGAAGCCTTCATTTCAACTTCTCCACTCTCTTTCATTAATCCTATACTTTGTCTTGGTAGCTCAGTAACATGATCATTCCTTCTGAGACCACTTCTAGACACTGTGTGACCAAGTCCAAGCTTGTACCATTCGTTGCAGGATAGCAAAGAAGGTGAGAGGCAAGATGTTAGAGCAGGCAAAGCAACTTTTATTCAGGAAGCCAGCAAACTGAGAGGATGGCAGACCAGTGTCCTAAAGAACCATCTTAAGTTAGCATGAACTTTAAGCTCCTCTTTATGTGAAGGGAAGGGGAAAGAAGAGAGGAATTGCAAGAGGTGACTGAGGACTGCAGACATCTGGGCATCAGACCCTTGGTCAGTTCTTGGTCAGTTAACCTTGGATGATGTATGTCAGGTCACAATGTTTTTATAAATCTTTAACACAACATTATTATTTGTGTGCATCCTTTCTTTTTCATCTCCCCAAGAGTGAGTTTTGGGAAAGGGACACTTATTATCTTTTTTTCTAGAATTTAACTATAAACTAAACTTTTCCATAATTAGCTGGCCTACATGCAGAGCTAAACAAAAGCTTTTAACCTAAAGGATGTTACAGCAAGGGATCAGAAGCAAAATGGAGCTAGTTATGCTAAGCCTCCCTTCCACTGTTATAATTTCCCCACTGTCAAAGGCACATTCAATAATCTTGTGGAATTGGGGCAATGAGGAATCTTTTCTCATCTGGCTACTTCCTGCTGGGCAGGGTTGACAAGGTGTGGTTGTGGAATAAAGCCACCTGACTTGACTAATGAAATATTCCCTAGAGCTCTTTTTTGGAACAGATGATCATAGGGATCTCCTTTCTTGCTTTGTGGGTTATAGTCAGCACAACTCTTGGTTACAGAATTTATAATAAGTTTTGCTAGCATATATCATTATAACCAAAAGAACAGAGAGGCCTAATTTAAGAATGTCTCCTAGGATTGACCAGATTCCACTAGGAATCCAAAAGAATATGTCTTAAAGCAGTCCCTAAGAGTGTCCAGCTAAACTCACTTTGGTGTTTCAAGGATTGGTGGAGCCACGTAGCCTATTGCCTAATTTTCTCAATATGGGTCCCTACTTCAGGGTAGGAATTAATACACATGCAATGGTTGGTGTTAACCACCTTCCTTCTTATTTTGCAAGCATATAGTCTAGGACAATGTGGTTATCAAGCACTGCTTTAGCAAGGGAGTCTAATGATTTTTGTAGACTAGCAGTTTTATTAGCAATAATGTTTAAAGTCTTAGATAAATTTCCCAGTCAGTATATGTTGATGGGTAGCTCCATCCCACCAAGGGAGAAGGAAGTGGCTGAAGAAACAGTTGTCCCCATTGGGAACTCTCCCTAGGAGATCAGAAGCCACTCTGGTAAGTAATTTTAGGGAACTTGTCCAATGGGCAACTTCCGACCTGCTATAGATGGAAAAGAGGGTGGTAAGGAGTCCCACAAACAAGTGCTCCCATTGTCCAGCTGTTTATACAATCATGGGCCCAAGGGGTTTCCTATCATCCCCACAGACAAAAATATAGCCAGGAGGGTGTACAAGCAGTACCTGTTCCTGTGTGAAGGTTTATAGAAGCATTTTTTGGTAACATAGAAGTTAGGTTTTTGAAGCAGGAGTCTGTGTAAGGGAGTTGATCTTGTCCTTTGGTAGCTGGAAGGCAGTCACTTTTCCTAGACCTTGGGGAAACATCTTTTACTGGTATAGTCTTGTACAAACAGGGGTCCCACAGTCCCTGTCTGAGGAGTTAAAACATTTGATAATGAGATAACCTAAAGAAGGTAGTTCTGAAAAGGCCATGACATTGAGTTTGTACAATAAGTGCTTAGCTTAGGAAGACCATTTGGCCAGTACTTGGGGTATCTCACTTTGAGTCTTATACAGATAAGACCCTGGGGCTTGGGGCATATTCTGTCCCTCAGCCATCAACATAGGGGTGGGAGCAAAAGGCGCTGATGATGGCGGTAGCAAGAAAGGAAGTGATATTCAGGGTAAAGGGGCTGTTGGCACAGAAGGGGGTGGGTTCAAGGTTTGGATTAATATTCCTTCCTCCCTATTGTCAATTTGCCCTTCCTGAAAAATGGATGTTTTACTTTGTGGCGTCTCAGCCTTTTTAGGCCTTTATACCATAAGGATGGCATTCGTCTCCCCCCCACCCCCATACTGGTGCAAAAGCACAAATGCTTGCATGTAGGTGATCTCCTCATTTTTCCCAACTCTTTCACAAAATAGTCCTATCTAACTGTAAAATTGTGTAATAATTCAAAGGACCATTCAGCAACCATAATTCCTAACCCTAAACATATTGGGGCCAAACTGTGTTACAATAAAAAAAATCATCTTCTTAGTCATAGGTTCATAATTATAATCAGATCATTTGTTCAGAATACATCCTAACAGACTCTCTTTGGCGATAGATGGAGCTTTCCCCAGGATAACAAAGTGAAAGTATAAACAGAACACACAAAAGTACAAAGGCAACTGACAAATAGATGCAAATGAACCGGTTCTCAAATCAGGTAAAAGCCCAACAACTATTTCCCTCTCCAACAGGAGACTCCAAATGAAAACAAGAACAGAGTGGCTTATTCCCAGGAAAGGCCCAGAGAGAAAAGGAATTAATTCCTGGTGTACACACTGGAGCAACTTATCCTGTGAAATTCCAAACTGAGTGCATCAACTGGCAGGGGTTTGGCAGTTCCTTGTTCCAATGGCTATATACTAGGGCAGTTGGCACCTTCCCTGAGAATCAAAGGCCATCCCCACAAAAAGTGCTCCCAGCACCTGCTAGGAACTTTCCTGAAAATTCCCCTGAATAGGGCCAGTTGCCCATGAGCAGCCACTCCTGGCTAGCTTTCCAAATTTGTAACCAAATCCAAGCTCATGCCACTTACCCGACGACAGCCAATAAGTCAAGAGAAAAGGCATTGGGATAGGAAAGCAACTTTTATTCTGGAAGCCAGCAATCTGCAAACCAAGATGACAGAATAGTGTCTGAAAGAACCATATTAAGTTTTTATAAACTTCAGGCTCCTTTTTGTGTTAAGAGAAAGAGGAAGAGGAGGAGGGTTGTAAGAGGTGAACGACAATTGTGGACATTTGGACATCAGTGAGGGTCTGAGGAGGTTGTGAACTTCTTTGTTCTTGGTCAGTTAACCTTGGATGATGTAAGTCGTCAGGTCATGATGTTTTTTATAAATCTTTAACATAGCATTGTTATTTATGAGTACATTTTATCTCCTCAGGAGTTAGTTTTGGGAAAGGGACAGTTATCTCTATCTTTCTTCTACAGTTGAATCACAAACTTCTTCCTATAATTCTTCCTATAATTAGCTGGCCTATGTACAGAGCTAAGTCAAAGCTTTTGCCCTAAAGAATAGTACCACAATCGCTTCTCAGCCTTTTCGCTAAGATCAAGTATAGAATAATAGTACCACAGGGGGTCAGAAACAAAATAGCTAGTCCTGATAAGCCTCCCTTCCACTGTTACAACTGGAAGGGAAATTGAACACCAACAGAAGACTTAGGGTCCCTAATACTCACAGGGCCTTGTACAGCTGCTACATTAGGAATACCCAACCCAAATTGTTGAACTTTATTCAATTGGTTTGTGTCTTAACTGAATAGAATGTTTGCTACAGAGACATTAAAATTAAGCTTAACATTGAATTTTAAAAACAGACGACAGTAAGCGACAGTGTTTGCTATAGGCTGAATGTTTGGATCCCCTAAAATTCATATGTTGTAGCCTATATTCCCAATGTGATGGTGTTTGGAGGTGGGCCTATGAGAGGTAATAAGGCCATGAGGGTGGAGCCCTCATGAGTGGGATTAGTGCCCTTATAAGAGGATTAAGAGACCAGAGCACTCTCTCTGTCCTGGATCATGTGAGGACACAGTCAGAAGACAACTGTCTGCAAACCAATAAGTGGGACTTCACCAGACACCTTGATCTTAGAGTTTCAGCCTTCGGACTATGAGAAATAAATATTTGTTGTTTAAACTACCCAAGCTAAGCCATTCTAACCGCCCAAACTAAGACAGGCTTCTTAAATCCAAAGTAGATTGGGATAAATTAGCCCTATTCTCAAATTTTACA